GAATGGATAAGGAAACTGTGCTGTACCTAAAGCGAAATATTCAGTCATGAAAAAAGAATTTTAACAGATCAAATTCTGACACTGTAGCCCATAAAAGTGTAAAAATAATGTATCAAAAATGGAAAAATGAGGGCTGGAAAGATGGCTCAGTGTTTAAGATTGCGTACTGCTCTTGCAGAAGACATAGGGTGGGTCCCCAGTGCCCATATGGCAGCTCACAACTGTTTGTGACTCCACTTCTAGGGAATCTAATGCCCTCCTGCATGCATGTGCCACACATGCATAACTCACATAGGCTCTCACACACATAAATTCTAAGAATAACAAAATAAATCTTTCTAAACATTTTATACTTATTTTTATTTTATATGTATGAGTGTATTGTCTTAATGTGTGTAAGTGCACCCATGTTGTCATTGCCTGCAGAGGAGGCATGAGTTAGGCAGGACAGTAGAGGATCTATCACTGGACTTCATATTTTTCACCACCCAGCTTAGAGTCCTTTCATAATTAGAATGACGTGCTGTCCACAACTGCCCTTCTGCTCTCTTGACAATACCAGTGGGGACAGACCCTCCCAGGATTCCTTTTGTTTTTTGTTTTTTGTTTTGTTTTCTTTTCTTTTCATCTTTTTGAGACAGGGTCTCCCTGTAGCCCCAGCTGTCCTAGAACTCGCTATGTAGACCACGGTGGCCTTGAACTCACAGAGATCCACCTGCCTCTGCTGGGATTAAAGGCATGCACCACCACGCCTGACCTAACTCCTAGGATTCTTAATGATGGCATCTATGAAAACCTCACCTATTGCAAATTTTGAACATGGTTTCAGGAAATAGAGAATGCCTGGCTGCATCCCACCCACAAACTCCTTAGTGTGGCAACCACTTTTACAATATGGACATACTCGAGACAAATGACTTTCACCTAACCTTGCCACCAAAAAGCAAATCTTAGCTTAGCTTATTCATAATGTAGACAAACTCACTGTGCCCTGAGCTCCTATCATAACCTAAATATATTATTTCCTCAGGACCTTTCCTTGCTCAGGATCTGGAATAACATGTGTGTGTCTGTGTGTATGTGGTGAACCTCTAAAAGTACTTATCTGTACTTTTTACAGGATCCTTTTACAGGCTGGCCACTTGTACCCACCTGACACTTCTGTGAGTGCTGAGGATCTGATCTTCAATCCTCACACTTGTGTGGCCAGCACTTTACCTGTCCCCAGCCCTCACTTTCTAACTTATACATATATCTCCCTTGCCCCAACATTATAGGGACATCAGTATAACAAGATGCTAAGTAAAGTATTGCAAGTTTTATACTTGTTATGTTAGCCTGTAATCCCATTGCATTCTTTCTAGTGTTTGGTTTGAGACAATTAAATGCTAAATATCAAAGAGAATAGAGTTATAAAGTACAATCAGAGCTGACAGTTTGATTTTCAGTTTTTAAAATTTCTACATCTCATTCATTTTTGAAAAAGGACAATGTCTTTGCTATCACATTAAGCAAAATACAGATTAATGTAAATTGAGACTAACACACTTTTTAAAAATGAAAATTCATATTCCATTTGTCTCTTATGAATAAAATACTTTTGGTTAAGGGGGTATGCTATGGCTCAGTGGTTAAGAGCACTGGGTGCTCTTGCAGAGGACCCCAGTTTCATCTCGAGCATCCACCTGGCGGCAAGTAGTCATTAGTAACTCCAATTCCAGTGGATCCAATGCCTTCTTCTGACCTCTGTTGGCATTGCCTGACAGGGGCTCACCTACCTATGTATGCAGGCAATACACTCATTTGTGTCAAATACAAATTTCAAAAAAACTTTAAAATGCTGAGACTGACTTGCTATTGTGAAAATTTTAGTTGCTGAAAAATGATATCTGATTCAGGATGATGTAGATTCCATTTGGGAGTGTGGGTGGATCTCAGGGAGTGGGTCTGCCTACCTGTGACAGTGCTGTAGCATGTCATCTTATTCTTTAAAAAAGTGGTTTCTTTTTAATTAAGACCACTTGTATTGCTTATTTATTATTTATTTATTTATTTAAGTTTAGTACTATGTTACTTAAGCTAGCCTCCATCCCCTAAGTTCAGGCAACCATTTTATCTCAACCCCCTAAGTAGTTGGTGGATTGAGTGGGAAGTATGTGTGTGTATGTGGATTTTAGACCTGCTAGCAGTCTTTTGTTGAAGCCCATGGTGTACAGTCTTAGCCTCTTTTGTTGGCCTTGTGCTCAGTGTGGACACACTCTTCTGGAAACTTGTTCTTCAGAATGCTCTTGAACTGTGCTTTCAAACAAGGGCCTGCTTTTTGTCTTAGTGAAATAGTATACCCAACATGAAATAGGGAAGTAAAAGTTGGATACTTATATTAACAGAGATTTTTGCACTTTCTGATCCCTAGACTAACACACACAATCATTAATAGATGTTACCAATTTCATTGTTTTCAGTGAGTTGGTTAGCTAGAATAACCAAATCAGAGAACTCTGGGACCAAATGAAAGACCCTACCTCAATATATAAGGTAGAAAGGGACTGAGGAAGACACTCGGTCTCAATGTCTTGCCTCTACATGCACAAGCACCCATGGGTGCAAACACAGACATCACACAAACACATAGCTGCAATAAAAAATAAACAATCAGCTGAAATGCAACACCAAACTCCTGACTTCATTAGAGGCAAGCCTGATAGCTTTCAGATAAAATATTCATAAGCACCATGGTTAGTAAAAATCATTAGAAAGCAAAATGAAGGCATCTGTGCATAAAAGGCAAGTGTTGTAACTATGGTCTATGGCGCCAAGAATATAATGGAAAGTATCTTGGCCTGCTTTTGTTTCATGTAGGGAGTGCCACCTTCACCTAGGGATTCTAGAATGTGCCATTACATTAACTATATCATTTTATCATTGTAATTATTTAGCAGAATTTGATTAATTTGGCTGCCATCTGTCAGTAGACACAAATCCTCCACTGCCCTGTAGGGGTTTGTTTTGTTTTGTTTTCCCCGGCCTTTTTGAGACACGGTCTCCCTATAACTCCAGCTGGAATTCACTGTGTAGACCAGGCTGGCCTTGAACTCACAGAGATCCACCTGCCTCTGCCTCACAAGTGCCACCACACCTGGCTAGGGTATTTTTTTGACTTGCTTCCTTTCTCAAAATGATGCTATAAAACACTTTTAAAGTTCTTGTTCATTCATCAAGTTTAATAACCTTACTGATTAAAAAACTGTTTCCTATTTCCCTGGGATATCTTCAGATAGTGTCTTAGTCTGTTTCTCCATTGCTGTGACAAAATACTCTGACCAATACCAACTTGGGGAGGAAATGGTTTATTCAGCTTACATCTCCCAGGTCGCAGTTCATCAGGGAGCCCAAGGTAGGAACACAGGGAAGGAACCTGGAAGCAGGAGCTGGAACACAGGCCATGAAGGAACACTGCTTACTGGCTTGCTCCCCTGGCCTTGCTCAGCCTGCTTTCTTATACAACACAGGCCCACCTGCCCAGGGATGGCACCACCCACAGGGGGCTGGGCCCTCCCACATCACTCAACAATCAAGAAGATGCCCCTCAGACATGGCCACAGGCCAGTCCAACAGAGGTAATTCCCCAACTGAGGCTCCCTCAACCCAGGTGTGTCAAGTTGACACTAAAGCTATCCAGCACAGATAGTTTACATAACAAAATTCAGCGTGGTCACTGTGAAGTTGACCATGGTTCTTTTTTTAAAAAAGTTTTTTGGGGTGAGCATAACAGAAATGTTGAAATAGTTAATAAAGATAAGAGGTTTGTTCAGCACACAGTTTTAGCACACACTTGCCTATGATAATCATCTTATAAAATTCTTCTCTTGGGGGCTGGAGAGATGGTGCAGCAGTTAAGAGCATTGGTTGCTCTTGCAGAGGACCCAGGTTCAATTCCCAGCACCCACATGGCAGCTAACAACCATTCACAACTTCAGTCCCAGGGGAACACAACGCCCTCTTCTGACCTCCATAGGCATTGCATAACACAGGCGCACTTACATATACGCAGGCAATACATTCATACACATAAAAATAAGTAAAATAATGACTAATATATTTTTTAAAAATTCTGCTCTAATCTGTTACCTAGAACAGAACTCAGTCACCTTAATATTCATAAATAGTCCCTAACAAAGTTCAAGCTCACAATTAAGCCATTTAATTACTATAATGTATTGCTTTAAAAAAAATGGGAGGGGTGACTCAGCAGTTAAGAGCACTGACTGCTTTTGCAGAGGACTAGGGTTTGGTTTCCAGCACCTACACCGCAACCACCTGTAACACCAGTTCCAGGGGCTCTAGCATTCTCTCCTGGCCTCTAAGGGTACTGCACACATGTGATGCACTATATACACACAGGTAAAACACGCACATACATAAAAAAATAAAAATTTTGAAGAAGGCTTGAAGATGCCATTAATAATTTCTGGTCAGAACTGCTGAGCCAAAGAATGGAGTTTCTCAACATCCTCTTTTCATTTTTAAAAGAAAGTACCTAATGTGGAGGGAAGATTTCTTTCCTAATGTTAATAGAAGGTAAAACTAGCAAACCACTGCAACGTAGGGCTCTGCTCAGTCAGGAGTGAACCCTGGGTAAAGGTAGTGCTTGTTTCCAGTTGTCACTCTAACTCAACTCAACTTTCTATTACAAAGCGATCACTACCAGCAAGAAAATGTTAAATACATTATTTAAGAAAAACAAAGCAAAGCAACTGGAATTAGCCACAATAGATTAGGCACAACTATCTGAGGAAATGCTAAGCAGTCAGCTGAAATCATTGTGAAGACTATGAAGAAGAAAAATCACACATTAATGGGGAATCATTAATCTTAATCAGGGCAACATCTAAAAGCCAAGAGTTTGAAAAGGCCATAAGGAAAGCAACGGCATTCTGTACCACAGAAGAACCTCAGGCACACAGAACTTATCAAGGTAAGAAATTGAAAGCAAGGTTTACCTTGGGCTAGTCTTTCAAGTCGTTTTCCGTGCTCCGGGGGAATAGCATACCTAAAACGTTAAGCATAGATAAAAATTTTATGTTTATGATTTTTCAGCTACTATCCTAACCATATTTATTTCTCATTTACAAATATTCTCAATTGCAAAAACTCAACACTAAACTTCAATTAAACTATCCCTTAAATTCCCAATGAAAGAAAAACAAAACTAAATCACTTGCTTAAGTGTCTCAGATCATCATTTCAACTGTAATTTAAAGCTCAGGGAACAAAAGTCCCTTATCCTAGCCTAGAGAGTGTTCCAGCAATCAAGAGTTCCTGCACACTATGGATACTCCTGACCATAGTTTTTCTTTATAATTTTGGAAACTGGTGAGTTTTGCTCTTGTTTCTAAGAAAATAGTGATTTTATTGTCCATTTTTTATTTCTATTGCACTTATTTGCTATTTATTTATTGTGTGTGCCTTGGCTTGTGTGTTGAGGTCAGAGGGCAGCTTTCAGGAGTCAGTTTTTTCCTTACATCCTGTGGGTTTCTGGGGATGGAACGCAAGCTGTTAGGCTTAATGGGCACCGCCTTTCTTTACCCTCTGAGCCACCTGACAGACCTGGTTGCTGTCTTTTTTTTTTTTTTTTTCTGAGACAGGGTCTCCCTGTAGCCCCGGCTGGCCTGAACTCACAGATATCTGCCTGCCTCTGCCTGAGTGCTGGGATTAAAGGCGTACACCACCACACCCAGATCAGCTGCTGTCTTTTTAACTTTTAAAATATTTTTATTTATTAAAAGGATAGGATATAAAATTTCCACACAAGACAGCATCAAAAATGTAGCTTTTATTTATTTCTTGATGATGTAATTGTTTAAATCTGATTACAAATTTTCATCCTGATGAACAGAAATGTTCATCTACATTTCCTGGTGTTATCAAAGGTGAAGTATCTGAAATTATTTATTGCAGTTAGTAACAACTTTTAAACAATAATTTCATGATAACTTGTGCAAACCTAAATTTTTTTAATATTTTGTTTATTTTTATTTTATGTGTATGAGTGCATTGCCTGAATATAAGTGCATTTGTGTCATGCAGTGCTCACAGGAGTCAGGCTAGGGCATCAGATTCCCCTACTAATGTAACTGTCTAATCATACTTAACATGGATGGCATTTAGTTTATTTAATACCCTTGATAACATATGCAAAAGTTGGCAATCACCTTTTCTTAACAGTCACATACATGCACACATGCCCAGACACACGTACAAAGGGTATAATATCTCCCTGCAAAGGGCTGAATGTGAAGAGATTTATACACCCAGACTCCTCTAAACTACTCTCATGGTTACAATCTCTCGATCTGATATTTAACCATCAGTTCACAAAAAACACAAGTGTCCAGGCAGTGAAGGGAAAGGTTAAACAGCTCTACTCCAGCTCGGTTCTTCCATTTGCTTCCAGGATTTGAATCAGGGTGATTAGATACACATCTCCCTCATTACGTAGGTGATCCTTATTAGCCTAATGTTCTAAGTCCTTTTCTGTAAATGTACTATCATGACCAAATTATCTTTTAATTGGGTCTATTTCTCTTTAGATTTAGGATAATATCTTGGACTATTTCTGCAATCTCAAAACCATCCAGTTGATTTTACAATTATAAATGAATACAAGTAAAATCTTTATGAGTAACCAACCGTTGATACAGCACAATACCTCTAAAATCATTAAAGTATGAAAATTTCCTTCCAATCATTGCCCACAAACAGAGAAACATAAAATATTTCCCTAGCAGAGCTAAATCTTCACATTGAGAGCAACTCTCTGAGCCAGGCGTGGTAGCATACACCTTTGGTCCCAGCACTTAGGAAACAGAGGCAGGCAGATCTCTCTGAGTTCAAGGCCAGCTGGGGCTACAAGGAGACCCTGTCTCACAAAGACAAAAAGGCGGGGGGGGGCAACTCTCTGGGTAACATTCGGTAAAGAACAAGGTAAAAATGACATCTGGATAACATTCAGTAAAGAACAAGGTAAAAATGACATCCAGGAGAAGACATTCGCACCACCGAGGTACTTTCAAGGTCAAAAGACCCACAGCCCATCTAAGTACATCTTTCAGTGGTTCACTCAAAACCACATCAAGCCAGTAGCTGTGATACAAACACTATTTGAGCTGAATGATGTTAGGCTGACTCTATTTGAACTGAATGATACTAGGCTGACTCTCAGCAGAGGTACTATCCTAACCTTGGGCACACAAAGCTCAAAGCCACCTCTCCAACAATCTGGGCTGCAACAAAAACAAACATCCCTGAGAGATGTCAATTAAACATCAGTCCTGAAAACTCAGGCTGGACACCTAGAACTGTGGCATGGAACAAGGTTTCTGAGCCAAGTACCTGCGAGGACACTAGATAAAGGGCCCCGAGAAAAGACACCAACGTGGGCTCAACCTCACTGCCCTGCTGCCCGTGAGATGAAATGAAAACCTCCAACAGTCACATCTGCAGTCAGGCAAAGTAAAGAAAAACTGATCATCATAAAGACATAAGTTTCAATCTGGGATTCTATACCCCTTAAGCGTAAGTTGATAACTTGAGCAATCAGGAAACAATGCTTTTGTCTAAAATCATCATTAAAAAATCCAGATAGATTTCATAATTCCTAATTTATTATTTTGTGTGGTACTACATAATACTTTTTTCATAAAAAATGTTTTATGAATTATTAGTTGATATCAACTATTGACAAAGAAAACCATTCCTTCCTAATATCAACTTCTTTAAAATACTCAACAGATAAAAGATTAATTAAAAAAAGGATTTTTTTCAGGGTGGGGTGGATAATGTCTTTGATCCCAGGGGGGCAGGGGCAAGGGCAGGGGCAGGGGCAGCAGGATCTCTATGAGATCGAAGCCAGACTGGTCTACATAGTAAGTGCTAGACCAAGTGGAGTTACAGGGAGACCCTGTCCCAAAAAAGGGGATTTCTCATTATGAGATGAAATAGTATGAGATGAACCAGGGGACTAATTAGTCCCCTTATTGTCCCCTAACCCTAGACCACTGACTGGCAACAGCATTCCTGGAAAGAGTCGTCAGCAGCAGCACCTGCCTCATCTGGTCAGAGTTCCAAGTACTTCCCTGTAGTGAATCGTATTCCTAAGAAAAATCAAATTAAATGGGGGTCACTAAAAACAAATGACTTATCCCTACTCAAGTACTACTTGAACAGTAAGATTATACAAATATAAACAGATGGGGTTATAAAGTAACCTACAAAACTATTTACAAGCCTCAAGTTTGGTCATGAAGAAAGTCCCTTTCCTATAAGCTAAAATCAAAGAACAACTTTCATAAAAATCAGTATTAAATAAAGTAGATCTTTACAAATTGCTATCTAAAACAGCAAGATGAAAAAGCCTCAGAAGGATGAGAAGAGAGAGAGAGAGAGAGAGAGAGAGAGAGAGAGAGAGAGAGACTAGACAACATGACTTATCTATCATATCTTCCTGGTAATTTGCAAATATTAAAGCACTAATGGTTACTGTCTTAGTTTATTTCTTCATTGCTGTGACAAAATACTCTGACCAATACCAACTTGGGGAGGAAAGGGTTTATTCAGCTCACAACTCCCAGGCTGCAGTTCATCAAAGAGTCCAAGGTAGGAACAGGAACTCAGGGCAGGAACCTGGAAGCAGGAGCTGGCGCACAGGCCATGGAGGATCGCTGCTTACAGGTCTGCCCCCCTGGCCCCTACTCAGCTTGCTCTCTTATCCAATACAGGCCCACCTGCCCAGGGATGGCACTACCCACTGTAGGCTGGGTCCTCCCACATCACTCAACAGTCAAGAAGATGCCCCTCAGACATGGCCACAGGCTAGTCCAATAGAGGCAATCCCCAAATTGAGGCTCCCTGAACCCAGGTGTGTCAAGTTGACACTAAAGCTATCCAGCACGGTTACCTTCCATAAAATACACTTAAATTTGCATCAAATTTTGTCATTTTTTTCCTTGAGTTACTGATTCAAAATCAAACAATTCAGTTTCATTACCAGGGCAGGTTCTAGAGGTAACATGGTAATAGATTTTATGTGAAAGTATAGCGACCAGTACCACTCTCCCAAAGGAGAGTCTGTACACCTCTTACAATGTTTACAGGAGTATAAAGATGCTTAGTTAAAATGGTGGCGCAGGCCTTTAGTCCCAGCACTGGGGAGGCAGAGGCAGGCAGATCTCTATGAGTTCAAGGCCAGCCTGGTCTACATAGTGAGTTCCAGGCCAGCTGGGGC